CATACATACATACATACATACATACATACATACATACATACATACATACATACATACATACATATACACACACACACACACACACACACATACATACATACATACATACACATGCACATGCACATGCACATACACATATACATATACATATACATACACACACACACAGAAAATATGAGAGGCTTACCTTACTAGAGTATCATGTAACAGGACATATTTTGCTTTCAACTCAGCCAATCTGGTTCCAGGGATTTTTCCCTCATAAAACAGCTATGAAATCGCAAGAGACAGAGAGACACTAGTGAAATTGTTAAGTCAACCATATAGGAAATTTACCAACTTTAAGACAATACCTAAATAAATTATAGTTGAGTTATATTTTGCAATGGACAATTAATCAATACATAACTGTATGCTTGGTTCACAGCTTCTAGAAGATCACAAAATTATCATTTTAAAAAATTAAGCAAATCCAACCATTACTATACAAGAGTATTTGTAAAATAATAAACACTCAATCTTTATAAACAGCTGGCTAAATTTTAAAGGATACATCACATTGCTGATAGAACGCTGGTGAAATCAAAGGGAGCATCAAGATTGAAACTACAGGTAGATAGTTTAGTGACCGTTACAACGGCACTGAACAAAAGTGGCCGACAACCCTTTTTCACACTTACGACCATAACAACATCTCTATGGTCACATGATCAAAATCCAGACGCTTGGCAATTTATTCATATTTATGACGGTTGCCATGTCCTGGGCTCGTGTGATCTGCTTTTGCGACCTTTTGACAAGCAAAGTGCCTGGGAAAGCCAGGTTCCCTTAACAACAGATTCCTACTTTATCAACTGCAGTGATTCACTTAGCGACTATGCCAAGAAAGTTCGTAAAATGGGGCAAAACTCACTTAACAAATGTTTCACTTAGCCACAGAAATTTGGGGCTCAGCTGTAGTCGTAAATCGAGGACTGCCTGTATTTTATTTTTGAAAAAAGACAACAAGTTGCACATGGTATTTTTTTTCTTTCTTTTTTTCAATGTACCTTGTTTGTAAACAATAGTCATATCTGCAGTTAACCTCGCTAGAAAATTATTCGCCAGTCCTAGATGGAGCACCCAAATTTTGATTACAGGACTCTTGAGGATGCTGTGATGGTCATAAGTGTGAGGACCGGTCACGTCCCTTTTTCAGTGCTGTTGTAACTTTAAGCGAAAGGTTGTCCGTCAAGGACTACAGGTAATCCTCGACATACGACCGCAACTGAACCCCAAAGTTCTGTTGCTAAGTGAGACATTTGTGAAATGAGCTTTGACCCATTTTACAACCTTGTTAGAAGGTACAAAAGGGGACACTGTGACCGTCACAAATATGAGTCAGTGGCCAAACCTCTAGATTTTGATCATGTGACCGTGGGGAATGCTGCAATGGTTATAAGTGTGAAAAACGGTTGTAAGTCACTTTTTTCAGTGCCGGTCCAAGTTTGAACGGTCAGTAAAGAAATGGTTGTAAGACAAGGACTACCTATACATGAATCAGCAGCAACAGGCAAGTTCAGTAATGGCTAACCTTTTGCCAAAAGCGTGCGTGTGCAAAAGTGCACACGCGTGTGCCAGTGGTGGGTTCCGGTTTCTGTTCCAACTGGTACGGTTGGAACGGGCCCGGCGGCGTCCACATGGACGTGTGCAGCGCGAGTGCACACAGAAACAGCGCGTCCATGCGTCTTAGCACCTACGCGAGCCTACGCGATGCTCCAGCTGCTCAGCGTAGTGTAGCACCAGGCGCTGTATGCACCATGCACGTGCACGGAACCGCCAAAGACTTAAAAGACCGGTAAGGAGCTCGGGCGGGCGGGTGGACTCTCCAGAGCACCATACCGGAACGGTATCCGGTGCTCCCGGCAGGCACCGGTACACCTGTACCAGGACATACCACCTGCAACCCACCACTGACGTGTGCCCACACCTATAATGCAATGTGACACACACACACCCCACGCATGACACCCCCTGCGCCCCCACCTTCCCTGCACATGCGTGCGCAACTACCCCTCCCACTTTCCCCTGATCATATTTTGACCCTAAAGTCTCCTGGGACCAAAAATGGAGCGCATGGGAGCATGCCGCCCCCAAACCCCGTGCATGCACTTGTGTCTCCCGCATGCGCCCCACCCCCTGCGCATGCACAGCAGAAACCCAAAAATCATCTGGCCGGCAGAGACCCTCATGCAGTGCAGCTGGCTGGGGCGACGGCTCACGTGCCCGCAGAGAGGGCTCCTCTCGTGCCACCTGGGGCACATCACGGGGCTAGTTGCTAAAACATGGCCTGAACTAGTGACAGATTTATTAAAATATGCTCCAATGTTTAGGCCAGAATTTGAATGGAGATGAATACGGGTTCCCAGGCAATGTCATCATTATCATGAGTTTTCTAGAGAGAAACGAATGCAGCGTTGCGTAAATATAACCGGATCCATGTACATAGCAACGGGAACATTACAAGCCGGAGTATTTCCTGCCTGAGTCAGAAGTTCAGAATGTGGCCTTTGGTCAGGAATTAATCATTTCGCAGCACTTTTTAAACAACAGTTTCTCCGGGGATATGTCAACAGAACAAGACAGGAGTCTTAGAGCCTAATATGCAGTATATGAAATGATTTTTGAGAATGCTTGGTATTTGACCAGTGGCATTATAAATCCCGGTTTTGAAAATGACTCATCGAAACAAAACAGGAATTCCTTTCTAGAAGTTTAGTAATTTTATCTTCTACAGGCAAAATTGGACTGCAGTTTTTTAAAAAAAAAGATTAGTCAGGCCATTTCGGAATTCAAATGGTACCCAAGTTATATAACATGAAAACTAATTAGAGGGACCAGAAAAAGAATTCCATCTTTACTGTTAAAAGCATCCTTAGGACTTGTACAGGTTGTCTCCGACTTATGACCCCAACTGCGCTCAAAATTTCTGATGCTAAACGAGACGGTTAAGTGAATTTGGTCCCATTTTACCACCTTTCTTGCCACAGTTCTTAAGTGAATCACTTCAGTTGTTTAAGCTAGTAGCACGGTTGTTAAGTGAATCCCCATTGGCTTGTAAAAAAATATATCCAAAAACGGCAACGGTCATAAATATGAATCAATTACCAAGGAATCTGAATTTTGATCGCATGACCCTGGGGTTGTCAAAGTGAAAAAATGGTCATAAGTCACTTTTCGGTGAGGTAACTTTGAACAGTCACTAAATGAATTGTTGTAAGCCGAGAACTAACTATCGAATATGTCAAATTTGTTGACTCAGCAAGAATAATGAAAAACAATGGGATGATATGCTGAAGATGCCTCAATATTTCACTGTGTTGAATATATATTTTGGAGGTTTCAGTGAACATTTTAATAACATATTTGCAAATATTTCAGAAATAAAAAGAAGGGAGTTTTTCAATTGGTCAAGAAATAGAATAGATAGAATAGAATAACAGAGTTGGAAGGAACCTTGGAGGTCTTCTAGTCCAACCCCCTGCTTGGGCAGGAAACCCTACACCATCTCAGACAAATGATTATCCGACATCTTCTTAAAGACTTCCAGTGTTGGAAAATTCACAACTTCTGGAGGCAAGTTGTTCAACTGATTAATTGTTCTCACTGTCAGGAAATTTCTCCTCAGTTCTAAGTTGCTTCTCTCCTTGATTAGTTTCCACCCATTGCTTCTTGTTCTACCCTCTAGTGCTTTGGAGAATAGTTTGACTCTCTCTTCTTTGTGGCAGCCCCTCAAATATTGGAAGACTGCTATCATGTCTCCCCTAGTCCTTCTTTTCATTANGGGTTCGGCGACCAACCGGTTCGCAGGGACCGCCGCGAACCGGTTGAAACCCACCCCTGCAATGAGCACAAGTAAGCTCAACAAGGTGCACAACCAGTGGTGGGATTCCAAATCTTTTTCTACCGGTTCTATGAGAGTGTGCTCGACGCATGTGCGCAGCACTTGAAGACCGCCTTTGGTGTCAGCGCTGGTGAGTGAGGTGTTTTTTAGCTCAGCTGAGGAGCGGCAATCTGCTCTGCTGCGCGAATCAGCTGAGCTAAAAAAATAAGGGACTATAGGACAGGGAACGACAGGGGAGGGAGGGCGGGGCCAACCAGAGGTGGCATTTGCCGGTTCTCTGAACTACACAAAATTTCCGCTACCGGTTTGCTCGAACCGATCCAAACCGGCTGAATACTACTTCTGTGCACAAGGGTGAACAAGTGGCAGGATGAGCACAGTGTGAGTACAGAGGGGTTTGGGGAGGATGCATGAGGATCTGTGGGTTGCTGGTGACGCACACCACAAGTGCAGAGAAGCTATGGGAGTTTGCATGGCTGGAAACACTTATCCAAGCCACTCGTGATCTTCTATCCAGCCCTATGACTTGGCTTCTGATAAGCTAATTGGTCATTCCACACCTGTTTACTTCCCACAGGAGACATTCTGCTGAGATAGAATAATTTGATTTAGAAATGATTGGACAAAATAAATCCTTAATAACAACAACACGGATTGATGCCTGCTGTCTATATGACCTTGGGGGAATGCAGGGAGGAGATACTGCCTAGGAAACAATTGGAGAACCAGAGGCCGAGCTTAACTGTCGGAGAAAGAAACATAGGAAGGACCCAGCCTAATGGATCAAGCAGTTAAAAGGGGCAGAGAAAAGTTTGTATTTTCAGGCTTGCAAGATTGATGTCAGCTCCTCTCCCGGTAAAGCAGACAGGAAACAGAGTAAGATGAACAAATTCTACTTTCCCCTAAGGCTACATTAACACAATCTTGCAAGTCATCCACACATATTTAGAGAGAATCATTTCAATGGCAAGAAATGGATAAAAGGACACTCGTAGACTTCCAGAAAAGAGTTCTTCTTTTCCTCTTCTGTGCCATTGTTCTCAACTGGCTGATGGGGAAAAAAAAGGCAATATATCTTTATAATGCCTTGGTAAGGCCACATTTGTAATACTGCATCTAGCTTTGGTTGCCACGATGTAAAAAAGATGTGGAGACTCTAGAAAGAGTGCAGAGAAGAGCAACAAGGATGATTGGGGGGCTGCAGGCTAAAACATATGAAGAACGATTGCAGGAACTGGGCATGGTTAGTCTGATGAAAAGAAAGATTAGGGGAGACCTGATAGCAGTGTTCCAATATCTCAGGGGTTGCTACAAAGAAGAGGGAGTCAACCAGAGGTGGGTTCCTACCAGTTCGCACCTATTCGGTAGAACCGGTTCGTCAAATCTA